TAAAAATGTTTTGCATTGATTATGTTTTGCGTAGTTTGAGGTTTTTCAAACTCAAACCTGAAGGAAAAAAAATATAAACAGGAAACTGCACCCAAAAGTTGCAAACCTGAAATCAAAATTCTCGCTAATCCTGAGCTAGCTTAACCAGGCTTTGAACAACCTGGCCCAGGTGTCCAGCCTGAACAAGAAAGGAGTCAAAGCCATAGTTTTGGGGCCAGAAAGTTCTGACACGGAAATTAAGGATGCTTCTGAAGGTAAATACAACCTTGTGTTTATAAAGTCATTGCGCTTTCAAGTGGGTTTTGGATACAGATCGCGGATTTAAAGCAGCTTCCTGGACTTTAGAAAACAAAAGTGGTAATCCACAGCATTACTTCGAAGTTTAATTCTAATTCTTGAACAACTACTAAAGCCACGTCCGATAAAAAGTCAGGCTTTCACTTTAGCGTAAAGAGTTAATTTGAACATGCTGTCACGCAGAGAAGCACGTCTGCGAAATTTTGAACATTTTTTTGCTTTTAGATAGTTCTTTTTTTTTGCCTCATCTTGAATGAAACTTTATTGTTATTGAACTTCCTGTCATGCTTCTTTCATTTGGTTACCTTTCTCTGGGAATTTTAGGTTTTTAAAGTTAACAGTATTTTTGCACCGTGGATTTCTGCATATTCAATGACGGCGACCTCCGTGGCCGTGTTTGTTTAGTTTATTCGCTTCGTTCAAATACATTTTTTTTAGTTTCATTCAGCTACTATAAAACTCCTGAGAAAAGAACTAAGTGGGCACTAATTTAGCACAGTTGAAATACGATTTATTTCAAAATAATTGGCTTGTTTTTGTCGTCTTTTTTATTTACAACTTTCATCTTTCTTTCACTGCACTGCATTATTTGTTGCAAATGAGGAAATTAACTGATTTCTTGTTTTTTAATTGTATTTTAGATATGTCTTTTCGCTGTTATTTTCCGGTGTTTTCTCAAATGTTATCCGCTATAGTAAAAGAATTGAAATTTATGGGTAACCCGAAAACCCTGACCCCCGGTCCACAGACCCTCGCTATGGCCCGGATCCGCAGACTACCTATGAACCAGTCCACGGAGCCCCTCAAGGACCCCCTCCACAGACCACTCCCCAAAATATAATAAAAATAATAAATAAATATTTCAGTTACGGGTTGTCTAATAGATTATCTGTGATGGCGAAATTTCGAACGTTACATTGTCTAAATGGGCTGACCTGGATTCAGGCTCGAGTGCAATTTATATCATTACACATTGCCATTTCCTTTGCTGTGGCCATAACGTATACGAAAGACGCATACGGGGAAGCCTCCGGGAAGCCTCAAAGTTTGTGTTATTTCCGCTCTGCCATTTTGTTCAGCCCATCCTCTAGTGGGTTTGTGAACTCATTCCAGGCTTTACAATTTACTCAGCAGAATAACAGATACAAACAAGAATAAACGGCCTAAAAATATATCTTCATAGCCAGATTGAGCCACGAACGGAAGGTAAGAACTTTCCTTCTTACCATCGGCATCTCCTTACACTGAAAACAGCTTTTATTATTATTTTATTATTATTATTATTTTTACACTATTTTAGGGTGGTCCATAGATGGGGTCCGTAGAAGTAGTCCATGGACCAGTCCATAGGGTAGTCTGCGGACCTGGTCTGTTGTGGGGTCCACAGACTGGGGGTCAGTGTTTCGGGGTTACCCGAAATTATGTTGTTTTCAGTTTCATTTTGTCCTCCAAAGTCAATAATTAACTCATTTTTACGTGTTCAATTTTCTCGGCTTTTGTCGAGCAACAAAGAAAAAAATATAATTTCTTGTTTTCGCGTCAATTATAATACACCTCAAGTTGAGTTCTTGTTGTTGACATTTTTTAAAATTTTGGCCCGTCATTTGTTCAACTTTAAATAAATGATGTCTTAAAATCTGATCTTATACATGGCTGTGGTTACAGGGCATATGGTTTATTTTTCTGCTTATACTCGCTCTGAAATATTTCAAAAAAAACTCCAGGGAATTAGGGGTAGGCTGTGAATCATTACGTCACACCCATGTTTTCCTGCCAAAAATTATACAAATTTTAAATTTGAATCTGAGCAAGCGGAACAAGTCAACTTCATTTTATAGAAGTAGAAATCTACTTGTGGCAAGTCTATCTGGAGGCGTTCATGTGGGATGTTTTGGTCTATGTAAGCATTAACTTTCAATGGCTACCCTGGAACTGCAAACACTATCCTACCCTGCACTACACTACCCTGCCCCATCCACACTACACCGGAGAAATTTGAAAAGGGTGTTAATCACTCTGAAAACACATCAAATGTTTTCCATCCACACTTCATTGGAGAAATTTGAAAACAAAACAATCACCGGTCATTTTGGATTTGTGTTTGAGGAAATCGTGATGTCATCGTTTTGGAAAAGCTCCATTTTGAAAATGTTTTCCGTCCACATTAAAACACAAAGCCGGCAGTGTTTTTGTTTGAAGAACACTCGTTTTCAAGGCAAATTAGTGTAGACGGAAGACCTTACCGTAGAAATAAACCTGCGTTTTCAAATTTCTCTGGCGTAGGGTGGACAAGGCCTCAGTGTAATTGTTTATCAAGTATTACAAATCAAACCTGAAGGTCAAAATTGCCAAAATTACGCACTGGTCGGTAAACACGCACTGAGTATCAGATAAGATCGAAATCTCCAGTGATATCACAAATTGTTCTTGCGGACAGACTGGTTGGTGGTTTCCACTGGAATGCTACCAGGCTTGTACCAAGAGTCTTTGTTCCCCTTGACCAGCGGTCGGGAAACGAGTGACCCTGGAGAGATCCAATTTGAAGTCCGAAAATATTGGACATCCGGTTGAATTGCGTCTAGCTCATAAACATGTGGCTGAATTGAGTCGCTTGTGTTTTTCTTTGCAAGGGCACCTGTTTTTTTCTGCTCTTGTTTCATGCAAAAAAAAAAAAACCAAGAGCCAAAAAAACAAGATGCTCTCGCAGGCTGGTTTTTCTTCCAATCATTTTCATTGTTTTTAAAGCCAGTGAAACTAGATATTCTTCGCTGTGGATACTTCACCATCAGCATACCTACATTGGTTACATGAGCTGGAAGTCTGTTCCTCTGTTTCTGCTTAATTTTCTCTAATTTCCCTCAACAAAGGAAAATAACCCAAGTTTCCTCGTCGCCTTGTTGCAACTTGAAATGAAAACATCGCCTAGACTTTGCATTTCACGGAATTTTTACATCAGAAACTTCCATCGAAAATGTCATGAACATGTCCTTGTACATGTACGTCCTTATAAGCAGAACCTGAAAATGCCATTTTGCAACAAAACTCAAAACTCGTTACCGTTTATCTCATTTGATAAAGGGAGGATGATTAATGTTTTCATCAAGACAGTATTGCCTTGATTTTTCAATATTTCCAATGTTCACTTTTCAACCACATTTACTGCCAAATATTTCTTGGTGAACCAGAGACAAAAATGATAAATGTTTAAAACACATGACCTTGTCCACCCTTGTCAAATGTAATAGCATGATCGTTTCAGTTGTCATGCCTTCTTATCCAAATGTTACTTTGTTTCCTTGGTACCTTATTGGCGAACACTGAACTACTGCTTGTACTCTAAATATGAAAATCAACCACAATATTCCCTAAACCAGATAATACTAAATATAATCCAAAAAATATTTTAATCCTTTTGTTCAATTCACAAGTTTGCTCACAGAGCACTTTGATTATGCCTTGTGGTAAGATCTTTTTTGTTTTCTCTGTATAGATGTTATGTTAGTCCGTTTTTTGAATAAAAATTCCTACAAATGATTTTCAGCCTTCTCAAAATGTTTTCCTGAAGCAAGTTATATGAAAGTTGGAGGTGGTTTGGGTTCCAAAGCATGCTTTCAAGTGTCCTTACAGTGAGGACCTGTGGCAGGGTTTCAGGGTATCCTTCCCTGGAAAAAATTGCAAAATTTCCATGCTCAAGGATGCCATGACCGGGCATCTGACAGGTTGTGGTGGTGCAGATCCCAATCAAACTCAATCCATGGATTACTTGTGCTATGTGTCTGAAATGTTTGTCCAAAATTTGTCCGAAATGAGACAAAAAGTGTCCGAAAATTATTAACCTGCAAAATAAAATGTCTGAAATTTTTTGCAAGTAATTTATGCTGTTAGCACTTCATGTATGTACCCTAGAGTCAACTTTGGTAACGTTCAATGTAAAAGTATGCTTGCTTGAATAGCATATGACGAGGAGAGAAAGAGGCAGTCATCTAGTATATAAAGTCACCTAGTTAGTCACAAAATGATAAATAAATCAAATTTAAATGAAGTTTTGAACCATCCATATTGAAAATCTTTATGCTAATGACCAATTAATTATAGTAATTAATTATGCATTCAATATAAAGGTATGCTTGCTTGAATAACATATGACGAGGAGAGAAAGAGGCAGTCATCTAGTATATAAAGTCATCTAGTTAGTCACAAAATAATGATAAATAAATCAAATTTAAATGAACTTTTGAACCATCCATATTGAAAATCTTTATGCTAATGACCAATTAATTATAGTAATTAATTATGCTAATTAATGTCTGGTCAAATTGATCAGATGTCTGGTCAAAATGAAGATTTGAAAGGACACGTGTCCTGTTGAAAAAGAAAAATTGTTTCCAGCACTTGGGGGTGTTCATAAAATACTCTTGGAAATTACGGAGAGGTGGGGTTTATTTTTTAGTTGAGAAAGTGGAAATTTGCGGGAGGTGGGGGTCTAACATGAAATTCCCTCCGTGGTGGGGGTATCGATATTTTCTGGAACTACACATTCTTGTCAACTTACATACTTATTTCAAGAAAACGTAGGTGGCTCAGAAATCAAAGTGGCTGGTTCTTTAGCCGGCAGAAGGCACCTAATGAGAACCCTGATACACACAAAGCAAAATGAAATCCAACAAAGCAGGACGTTCACAGTACATCATAGTGTTACTTACCTGAACTGGTTGAAAGGCCTCTTCACATGCACTCTGAAGTTTCCTTATTAGCCATTCTTTATCATGTTTCTTTCCCTGGAGGATCTAAGAGAAAAAACAGATGCAAAGTCAATCACTTCAATGTATACCATAAAACGCCATGTTAAAACCCTGGGCTAATATAACTCCATATGGGGTTTTGCATGGGCTTATAAATGGGGAGACTTATATCTGGGGGGGGGGAGGGCATATAAGCAAAATAAAAGATACATTTCTGAACAACAAGATAAAACATAATCAAGAAACGAATTAAAGCTAACATACCATTACATTTAGAGCTATTACCGTATTATTACCCTATTACCCTATTAGCCTATAACTTTCAATTACAAATTTTGATGTTTGTAAAGAAACGCAAAAGGAATGCACTCATACATTAGATGGGCTTCTATCCAGGGGGGCTTATATCAGGAATAATATCCTTGTCAGAAATAGAAGAGCTTATGTCTAGGCGGGCTCATAACTTGGGGTGCTTGAACGTGGGATTTTACAGTATTGCATTTTTTTTTCTACACTGAATCAACCTCATTCCCAGAGTCCTCTCTATTCCTCCCTTGAGAAAGTACCCTGGTTACAGCTGATCACATATCTCTATGCATGCCAACCAAAGCTGCACAGCAGGTAGGTCCTCAACTTAATTTTGTCAACAGTACAATTCAATCCTGTCTAGGGAGGGAGAATCCAAATACTACTTCCATTCTTAAGGAGACTTTGAGTTGTGTGGCTTTCTGCTGGCGATTGAAGGTATACGGAAATCTTGAAAAGATTGCCAAAAAATTTGCCAGTCTGAAAGTATACGGTAACTTTTATCATTGCAGTTTTATACACAACTTAAGCAGCTGTGAAATTAAAAGCCTGAAAAAAATTCCGGCTTGAACAAGATTCAAACCAGTGACCTCTACGATACCAGTGCAGTGCTCTACCAACTGAGCTATCAAGCCAGCTGGGAATTGCTCGAGTTGTGAGTTCATAATAGACCCATAAACGGTGAGGATACAAGTGAATATATGAAAGATATATATTTGAACTGCAGAGAAAGACAAGAAAACATATGTGATCATTGCAGTTATATACATAGCTTAAGCAGCTGTGAAATTAAGCCTGAAAAAAATTCAGGCTTGATCACCACAAGAACCCATGACCTCTGCGATACCAATAGAGTGCTCTACCAACTGAGCTATCAAGCAAACTGGTAGCTGGTCACATTGTGAGTATGTTATATACCAGCAGATGGTTAAGAATGCAGGTAAATATATGAAAGATCATATATGAATTTTAAAAACAATTTTGGTATATGGGCCTTAATTTCCTCTTTTGATGGCCAGCAAAGCAGCGAACCTTCAAAGGTCACAGCTAAAAAGTTGACCCTTGTAAAAATGTACTGTACTGACAGAAACTGCAAACATATCAGCAGGATGCCTTTCCATAAGACCTCAAGTTCCAACTGCAACAAAACATAAATTAATAAAAATTCCTCTTTCAATCCAACATCCCATTTTCTTCCCTGCTTTTTAACTCGGAGATTACATAAGCAATCTATAGGGTTTTAGCTGTGGTGCAGATTATTCAAATGACATGCAAATGATTTCCTTCCATCATCCATAAACTTCTGCTAACCAATAGATCAAGGTCCTGAAATTGCTGAATTTAGTCAACATTGCAGGCACATATATTGTTTTACATTTCTGGGTCAAGGTATTACATGACTGCGATTGTTGCAATACAGAAGGACACTTGTTTTGTTTGCTTTCTGGGTATAGGCATTTGGCATTTCTATTACAATCCTTTTGTAATACGCATTGGGAAGGTTTTCTACCTTATATTAGTGGCAGTGCATTTGTGAACTGTAAAGTTATTTGATGTGGAACAATGGTAATTGCTCACATGATACAGAGATGTTCTGAGACATTTTCGTGGGCAATGGTTTCCTACGTCGGCCTGGCCTTTGGAGCAGAAAAATCCAAGCTAAAGGTCGAAATCTCGAGGCTCTCCGAGCCAAATTTGATAGCGTTGTTCCAGAGACAGAGTAGAAATTGTTGGAAGCTGCTATTGAAAATTTCCACTCCATCAAGCAACTGGAATTGCTGAAACACAGATGTTATTACCGGTGAGAAGTTTTCGTGGGAAATATTTCATTACGTTGGGCTGGCTTTAGGATCAGAAAAGTGCAAATTCAAGGTGAAAATCTCAAGGCACTCCAAGCCAAATTTGACAACAGAGGTGAAGTTGCTGAAAGCTGCTGTAACCAATGCACTGGCAATAATTTAGGTTGTAAAGAAGTTTGATGCAGTTACAAACAACTCAAACTCTTAACTTAATTTTACATGACATTGCCAGTGGTTTCAAGGATAAAGGTAACAAACATAATACATTAAGAGTGGAACAACTAATTACAACAATGGAAATAACATACAAAATAAATAAAAATAACATAGGAAATTCAAGGCAAACAAACAAAGGGGGCATTACCTGACAATTTGGGAATACGGCGAACAAAACAGCACAAAGAACGCAACATTGTTATAACTTGTGAACTCAACTGAAATACTTGCGATTTAAATAACCTGCACGAAGGTCGAACTATTTATGCATAGCCGTGCAGACTGGGGCTAGGCAGAGGATTGGTGTCTACACCGTCCCTGAATTAGCTACTAGTACCAACTAATTCCAACAACAAAATAACCAACTCCTCGACTACGAAGATCCAACAGTAATGTGACGAAAATTAACTTATTTCAGATTACGCAGTTTGTAGTGTGGCAGTCTTAACCATAGAACTTATCAGTTTATAGACCTCATGAGTTCTGGACTCCTTCAAGGAGGCACAACTTCCTGATGTCACATCTGAAGACAGATGTGACCGTTTTCACCTTAGTGCTGCGCACATAGCCATTGCTGTCTAGAAACACCACCTTGATCAAGCCCATTGGCCAGCGACCTCTGGGCGTCTTCTTGTCGACAACGAGAACCAAGTCACTGACGGGGAAGTTTTGATGAGGGACGCTCCATTTCTGCCTTGTTTGAAGTGCTGGTAAATAATCTTTCATCCATCTCTTCCAAAATGAATCTGCCAGGCATTGTGCTTGGCACCAGCACTTGCTATACTTGTCGTGACCTTTGAAGACATCTGGCAGGAGGCAGGAATTGGATTTCAGGAGCAGGAGTTTGCTCGGCATCAGCGGCTCAGGATCATCTGAGTGGTCACTAAGGGAAGTTAAAGGCCCGTCGTTGAGAATCCTTTCCAATTCACACAGCAGGGTTGACAATGTTTTGTCATTCACCAGCTTTTGCTTTAACATGGCACCCAAAATCTTCTGGGCAGAGCAGATCATACATTCCCAGATTCCACCTTGATGGCTTGCCTCAGGAGGGTTAAATGACCACTAAATGTCATTTGACCTTAGACTATTATAGATTTTGGCTTGGTCCAGTCACTCCAGTGCTTCTCTCAGCTCTCACTCAGCGTCCATGAAATTGGTGCCGTTGTCGCAGTGTATCTCCTGGGGCTTCCCTTTGCGGCTAACAAAACACTGCTACACACAGATAAAGGAGTCTGCTTCTAATGTGTGCGTGACCTCAATGTGCGTGGCCCTCATGGTTAGGCATATAAACAAACATCCTAACGTTTCACCTGACTGCGTCCATACTTGACAATAGACTTCCTACTCTTAATATTCTCTCAGCAACGGATGGGTTCAAGTTGCGTATTGGACTAGACCATGGAACACACTTCTTCTGGTTCCCCTATGCTCTTTGGCCTACCACAGCAAGCTCCGCTGGAAATGCATCATGCTGGACAGCTTTGATGATGACCCTCTCTGCAGCAATAACTTCGCTGAGAGTCAAGGGTCCCTTGGGAATGCTGTCTGGATCCTCCTTAAGGAGGCCAACCAAATACTTCTTGAAACGTACTAACCAGGCTATGGCCTTTTGAAGACTGTTCCAGGATGAATAGCAAGACAACAGCGGTTCCAACATTTTACCATGGACAATCACGTTCACACGATCAGGGCATTTTCTATATTCACTGTCGTCTTGAGGCAATTCCAGCAACTGGGATGGTTCTTCGGGCCAATTCTCCTCATCCTTCCACAGAAACTTTGGGCTGGGAAGCCACAGGTCCAGCTTGTGTAGTTCGGAACCTTTTGCCCCTCTGGACGCGATGTCGGCAGGGTTCACACAGGTGTCGTGTCGCCATTGATGTGGTGTGGATTCATCATGTATCATTGAGACTCTGTTGGCAACAAACGTGAAATCTTCTTGATTGTTGCGCATGTACTGCAAGACTACGGTAGAATCCGTGCAGTAGATTGTGTTGTGTATGGGATACTCTAACTCATTCCGAATCAGGCAATTCAACTTCACAGCAACCAGTGCAGCTGCTAACTCAAGACATGGTATGGACACCACTTTCAGGGGAGTGATACAAGATTTGCCAAGAACAAAAGAACAATGCGGAACATCCTTGTCGTAGACAATTCGAAGGTATGATACTGCTCCGTAACCATATTCAGAAGCATCTGAGAAATGATGTAACTGAACGTTGTTGACTGCACCGAATCCTGGTGGATTGAAACACCTGGAAACTGATATTGTTCTCAAACATGCAAGTTCCTTCAGCCATCCTTGCCATACAATGGAATCCGCATCAGAAATCTCTTTGCCCCAGCCATACTTCTGCTCACATAGGCTCTGCAACAGGCTCTCGGGCTAGCAGAATGATAGGCATGATGAACCCAAGAGGGTCGCACATAGAGCTTACAACAGACAAGATTCCTCGACATGTGGGGGCCTTTCCTTTATCCATGATGTGAAAGTTAAAGTCATCTGTTTCCATGGCCCACTGCACTCCCAAGGTGCATTCTACAGGGAAATCCTCCAAATCCAAGTTGACAGCAGAGGGCGCTCTCTCCGTTACTGGATCAGTGGCAATTACATTCCTGTCATTACTAATGCATTTGGTAAGCTGAAATCCTCCTCTTGACAACAATTCCCATAACTGGCCAGACAAATGTGCCAGTCGTCTTCGTAGAAGTTCCGGTCAA